GTACACACATATCCTGCAAAGACCTTGCTTTGCCTCTGTTGTTCCCTGTTTGGAGCAAAATTGGAGAATGCAGAAGCAAGTGGCCTACCGGCCAGAGGAAGTGGCCTACAGCCTCTCATCATTTACTATTGTGCCCCAAAAAAAAAAAAAGTATGCCATCATTTAAAACATTACATGAATCATGTGAACATAAGGTAGGATTAGAAAAATTCTAGCAAGCATCATGTATTTTTTTAGGGTGAATTATACTAACGGTTCCTGTAATTTGGGGTAATTTGAAACTTGTGTTGCTTTGGTCTCTCATCTTTCAATTATGATACATTAATGCTTAGTTTTTAATCTCATTTCAAACAAGGGCAATTGAAAACATCGTTTCCTTTGCAAACAAAAAATGGTTCATTTCAACAGTAAATTCATCAATTTGATAAAATATAAATTAATTTGACAAAAATAAATGTCAAAAAGTTATTTTTGAATTTTTAAAAATTATTTCCACGCACAAAAGATAAAATTATATAAAAATAATAAAATCTTTTACATTTTTATTTATTTATTTTTTACCAAATTAATTTTTAATATGTATTTGGATGATGATCATGTAATGGATGATTATTTTTGTTGATGTTTTTGGATAATTATCATGTAATAAATGGTTGTTTTTGTTGTTAACAAATATTTTTGGATATGGTTATTAGGCTTTTAATGTGTAATCGATATGTTTAATATATGAAAGGCTTTTAGTTTTGGAATTTTTGATTTAATGGATTGATTTAATAATGACATCTAAGTTATCGTTATGTTTGACTTTTGAAAAAATAAAAACTAATTGAACAAAAATAAATATAAAAAAAATTAAATCTAAAAAATTATTTCTACCCTTCCAAAAGATAAAATTATATAATAATGATGTGCTTTTAATTTTTTTCACCAATTTAATTTTTAGTTATTAGAAAAAAAAATTCTGAAAATAGATTCTGAAAACTAAACTAAACAGAATTTTATAACCAAGAAAGTGCCAACATTATTCATTAAAAAAAGGCCATTATAATTCAAACAACATACAAGTTAATCATCACAAATATGTCGACTTTATCCTCAAAATAGACCATTTGCAAATAAACATATTTGATTATCCTTATTTGGAATAAGATTCAAAATTTAAGATCAAATATATCACAATTGAAAAGTTAGGAACTAAAGTGACATAAATTCCAAATTGCAAGAATTGTTAGTATAAATCTTATATATTTTTTTAAAAAACATTGTTCTTTCTTTTTCTTTTTCATATTCGGAGAGAACCAAAACATATGACTTGAAGGCTCTTTTGGCACTGACTTAAGCCGTTACAAATCTCCATGCCTGTGTTCAAGGGGTGGACACTAACTTGGACAAAATTTAATAAAACCTTTTGGCATTCTTTGACCACTACCCCCTGCACCAGATTACCACTTACATCATATTGTGATCCATGACCTGCAGTACCTAGTCTAAATTGTTGCCTTTCCTCTCATTGTTGTTGTGAACGAATACTTGTTTGTCTAGCCCTAGTCATCTTTGGATCAGAGTCAGAGTCATCATCTCGAAGATCTACAAAATCTCCTTCTTCATCCTCGTAATAGAGATCATCTCCCCTAATATCTGCTTCCAATTCAGCTTTTCTCTTTTGTTTGTCTACTTTACTCATTTTCTTATCTTGTAAATGTTTCATCATTTCTTGTATCACGTATCTACTGACACTAGGACAAGAACACACTAGCCCCGTTTGATGTGCTAAGTGTTGTTTGAGATGCGTAATCCCAGCTTTAATGAGATGTCCACAAAATTTGCAAATAATATGATGCCTAGTGCCTTCAATTGGAGTTCCAAATTTCCAACCAATATCATCACTTGGGGGTTCATCAACAAAAAAGGTCTATGGTGAAAAAAACGCATGACGAAAAAATATTTTGTCTCCAAATATACATGTTTTAGTGATGAAAATAAGATTTCGTTTCCAGTTGTACTATTTTTAGAGAAGAAAACAAAATTTCGTCACCAAATGCTTAAAATAAATAAAATAATAGGTGATGAAATTTTTTTTGATCTCTAAATTTTATTTTTTGTCAGAAAACAAATTGCCGCCCTTGAAAATTTTGGTGAAAAATTTGGGCGCTATATTAGAGACGAAAAGTTTCGTCACCATTGTAAAAATTTTCAGAGACAAACATCATTTCGTCACCTATAATTGAAGGGGACAAAACGACGTCGTTTTGTCTTCCCAACTCTCTCTACCCAAATCACTCCTCTCTCTCACGCTCTTTCACTCACTCTCTCACCCAGTCTCGTCTCTCTCTCTGGTCTGAGCTCGTGAAACCCTCTCACCGATCTCTTCCTTGCCCTCTCACATGCACACGAGCACTGCCGAAAACCCTCTCTCTCCATTCGAATCACACCTCCGAAAGCTTTCTCTCTCCTTTCGAATCGCACCACCGGAAGCCCTCTTCTCCATTCGTTTTGCTTCACTGATGCGGCACCACCGGAAGCCCTCTTCTCTGTCCATTTCGCACTAGATATCTTCTTTTCTATATATATATATATGTACACTCTTCGTGAATAAAGATTTGTGTGCAATTTCCCTAATTTTTTTGTGATTTCCAATTGGGTAAATTGTTGAATGCGATTTGTTCCTACTCTATTTTGAGGTTGTGGTATGCTGGTCTACTCTGAATTGAGGTTGTGGTTTGATTGATTAGCTGCTGTGAGGCTTGGTGGTTATCTCTGTTGTTACTAGTGTTGCTTGGTTTTACTGTTGTGAGGCTGAATGATTGTTAGTATGATGGATAGCCAAATACCTTTTTATGGTGGTTCAAATTCTGTACACGTTTATCGACATCTAGTATTTGAGAAATTTAAATCATATGTTCTTTTTCGTAACTTTGATGAACTTGCACAACTAACTAGTTATCTTGATTATTGTCCTCTCAGCCATGGTTGTGGTGGTTGAGTTTGCATGCTCGTTGGGCTCTCCTGGACCATTGATTACTTGCGAAGGTATTCACTACACCCGTATACTTTGCTTTTTATCTAGGATTTTTTTAATTTTTTTTTTATCCATGACTTAGTTTCTCTAGACTCCATTTGGTCTTCGACTTTGAGGACACCTCAGAGGGTGGCATTGGCACTCTACCCTTCTTGTTTTATTTCTAATGTTGGTTTGCGGCCACCCCCAGTTCCTCCAGAAGCACCCACACTTGCTCATTGGATCTGTCTCAGCCACAAGTGTGTTTTCAGATCATTTATTTTGCAACTTAGAAATGGTTCTTACTTGAGTGCAACATGTTGGAGTCCATGTCATAATTATAATTCATATTTGAATACATTTTCCTATGAGTGTGAGGTGAGAAACATTGCTTACAATTGACATTATGCATGCTGACCAGAATAGTGAAATTTACCATAAGGAAACTGATATTCAGTCCTTTAGAAAATCATGCATGGAAGTTGTTTTATGGTGATGAGAATTTTAGTTTGACTTTCGTAATTAAGGTGAGTCATTAGATCAAATCTATTTTTTGGTTATGAAGTTCCTTTCTTTGGAGTTTATTGATTAGTTTTTGGTACTTCTATGATGGATATATACATGTATACGTGAAGAGGCTGGTTTGGTTTTTATGTGGAAGCAATGATAATTTCCTTCAGAAAAATATTCCAGTATGTTTTAATTTGAATTGGTAATATGTGGTTAAGAAAATATGTTGTTAAGGTAACATTAAAACAATATAGGGTTGTTTAGACCATCCTTATCAAATCTCCGTAGTTTTTCTTAGAAGCTTGGACAACACTGCTTTGGTACATTTGACCACCTCTGACGCAACTTATTATTTGTGAGTGAACTGGACTTACTAGCAACATATCTTCTGATACTTAAGTTATAGAAGCACTTTGGACATTCGATGTACATGACAAGTGTTAGTGTACATGATAGTTAAGGACACCAGTTAACAAATTTCTTACATTCTAGGTTCATTGATTGCTTCTTTGGCAGGTGCTTTTTAGGTTTGTTAATGAAGGACGTGAATCGATTCTCAAGACACTTTGGCATCACTCAGTTGCTGTGATGTGTTGCTCTTTGAAGGTATTATTTCGATTGTTTAACTTCTCATTTTTATAACAAATTTCTGTTCTCTGTATTTGCAGAAGTCTGAATGTTCTTCATTTATGATTTTTTAGAAATAATCCTTACTGTGTAACATTTATTTATCTGTCAACCAGTTAAAACGTAATTCTTTCTTTACCTGCTGAGTTGTGTGATTGTGAATATCGAGGATGGGAACAATGTAAACATGTACAACAATATGTTATGTGTTATTTAGAACCTTGCCTGTTTTTGTCACTTTGAAAACACACTAGCTTAGACAATTGATACATTGCTATGCATTTGGGTTGATTACTCTTGTTTTTTTAATTCCATTTGTAGTCAACAACAAAGTTATAATACGCAAGTAGTGGCCACTAACAATTTATCTTATTTCAATTGAGTCATATTCCATTCTTCATGAAGGATTTCTACTTGGAAGAGTAAGCTCAAAGTATATGCATCTGACTTAAGATCTTGTTTGATTTGGACAGATAAAATTAAGAGGATTAGGGTATTTGAACCACAGGGTCACAAGTAATTTCACTATATGAGGGGAAAATTTTAGTTGAGACACAACTACAACTTAAGAACTTTCTCTTTGCTATCCTTCTACTATTTAAATTTCATAAATATCACACATTTGTGTGTGTGTGTGTGTGTGTGTGACATCTACATAAGTATCTTCTTTTGAATATTATAAATCTAATGTTAAATCATAATACATCTAGACTGAATTCCATGTTCCATTTGAAACTATGATTATTGTTACTTTCTTCCACCTTATCATTTTCTTTTTAAACTTGGTTTTGTACACATTTCTTTTAAAGGGTTAATAGTGAACAAAGAATTACTTGAAGCATGCAGGAAGACATTTTAACATATTAACAAGTGGCAGGATCTTGTTGAGATTGTTCTAGAACCTATTAACAAGTGGCAGGATGTTGGACCAGATCATTTTAACATATTGGATGCTTTTTATGCTGAGCCACAAAGATATGCATATACCTTCCAAAACTATGTTTTTGTTATAAGAGTTATGCAGGAAAGGGAGTCTTCTGGTGGAATTAAGCCTCTCAGATTGATGGAAAGGACTGTTTTCAGCGATAGGATGGTATGCATCCCTCTATGTATTAGTTTCTTTTTTAATAATGATGAAGTGTTTAATATTTTGAACTTTGGTGTGGCTTCATAAAGTTCCACATTTTGTCTTGATTGCAAGTTATAAAATTTCAGTAAAATGCAAATTTATTTGGTATTTGTGTTTTGATTTTGACCATGACTGAAACCGATTGACTAAAATGTTGCAATTCTCTCCTTCTCTCCATTTTGTTGATGCCATTCGGAGGGGGGGGGGGAGAAGAAGAAGCTGTTATTAGAGTTTCAAGGCTGATACATTTATCTCATTACTTGGTTTTTTTTTTTTTCAAGAAAAAAGAAAAGAAGAAGATGTTATGAGAGTTTCAAGGCTGATACATTTATCTCATTACTTGATTTAAGGTCTTTGTGCGAGCTGTTTATGAAGCTAATTGGATGAATGAGATGGAGATCAGTATTTATGACTCGTGGTTTGATCCAGTTGTTTCTTGTTTACCTGGGCTTATTCCTAATGGTTTTATCTATCTTAGAGCAACCCCTGATACTTGCCACAAGCGGATGTTGCTACGGAAGAGAGCAGAGGAAGGTGGAGTCTCCCTTGAGTATCTTCGCGACTTGCATGAAAAACATGAGAGTTGGCTTTTCCCTTTCCAGAGTGGAGATCGAAACTATGATTATTGTTACTCTTCCACCATATCATTTTCTTTTTAAACTTGGTTTTGTACACATTTCTTTTAAATATGCTATTGTTTGATTGATATGTGTAAAATGTTGCCTCTCCAAAGTAATTTAATCTTTGGTTATTTTTCAATTTTCTTTGAACTTGTTCCTATGTGCCTTGTAACATAGATACGGGAAGGACACATCACAACATAAACACATTGACCCAACACATTTTGAAGTAGGACACATGCATGGCGCTGTATTATAAATTTATGTGTCTTGTTTATGTGCATTACAAAAGAAAAGACGAAAATAAAGTTAATTATCTGGATTTTTGAATTTGCAATTGCAAAATATGGAAGAAACTCCATCTTGTCATGTATATGAACCATATTACCATTTCTATTGTTGTTAATTCTTTATTACTGTGTCCTTTTTTTATATTAGAAATTTTCTCATACTTCAGTTTTGTTGATAATGCATGTGATATCTTTCTTTAGCAATAATATTAGACACATCTGGGGTGTGTGAGTCACATTATCAAGAAATTTGAACATCACTCTTGTTAAGATATTCGCTATATTGGTTATAGTGAGGAGAGTCTTAGAACTTAGAAGCATTTTCCCATGAAGTTTCAATTTTAAATTAGGGCACAAATCTAAGGAGTGTGCTAGTTTCTAGGAGTATACAAATAACGTTAAGTATGCTTGTGAATAGGCCATTCTAACCTTAAAAATGGTTAATGCCGGCATTGCTAGTTTTTACATTTGCAAATCAAGCAGGACTTGATCTTCTTGAGACAACTCTGGTAGCACTTCAAGAAATTACTTTGGAGAGGATTCTTGATGACCATGGAAAAAAGACCCTCTTCTCTGAGCTCCCAAAGATTATGCAGCAGGTCAGGTTCTTCATAATCTATAAAAGATAATTAACTGCTAAAGCTTAATTTGTTTATTGGAGACTTTGAGGGAATGATATTTTGAAATCTGATAAAGATAACACATATTCTTTCTTTTCTCAATCTCCCCAAAATCCAAAAAGAGCGAACTATTGTTGTCGTTGTCATCATCATCATCATCTTTTTGAACGATGTTCAGTGTATCACTGAAGTGAAAGGGACGATGCATTGGCCAATCATGTTCAATACCTATAAATGTCTAGTACATTTTTGGACTTCCATTACTGCCATGGAAACATTGAGAAAATTGTCCCCCAAATGTTTAAGAAGCAAACATATTGTATTTTCACAGTGTGTGACGAAACGTGATTTGCCACATGTTCATTGAATTTATACTTTTCCTTATTACTAGAAACTGAAATTTTAAGAGAGGTCCACCTGAGCTTTTGTGGTAGGTTTCTTAGGAAATAGGTTACCGCAACCTTAATATTGTGAGTTAAGATAATGATCTTGTTCTGGGATTGACTAGGACTCAGACTGTCAAGTGGCCTAATATTTTGTTAATTCAACCCATATAGTGCCATTTGTAACTGTTGGCCTACCTTTACACTGATTCTTCATTTTCTTACTCTCAAAGCATTAATTCAACACTTAAGCTTGAAAAAAGGCCTTCGGGGGCCAAAATGGTGTAACAGCCACGAGAAGGTCCGGGGAACACCTCAAACACCTCGAGAGGGACAATGTAAGTTGTGAAAACTTACAAAACTAGCACGGAACTCCCGGTTTGAAAACTAAGTCCAAAAATGCGCTTTTTCACACTTAAGCTTGAAAATAGGCCATCGGAGGCCAAAATCGTGTAACAGCCACGAGACGGCCCGGGGAACACCTCAAACACCTCGGGAGGGGATAATGTAAGTTGTGGAAACTTACAGAACTAGCACGGGACTCTCAGTTTGAAAACTAAGTCCAAAAATGCATTTTTTCACACTTAAGCTTGAAAACAGGCCATCGGAGGCCAAAACCGTGTAACAGTCACGAGGTGGCCCGAGCAACACCTCAAACACCTCAGGAGGGACCATTGTAAATTGTGGAAACTAACATAACCAGCACAGGACTCCTCGTTTGAAAACTAAGTCCAACAATGCACTTTTTCACACTTAAGCTTAAAAATAGGCTATCGGAGGCCAAAATCATGCAACAGCCACGAGACAGACCGGGCAACACCTTAAACAACATGGGAGGGACCAATGTAAGTCGTGCAAACTTACAAAACTAACACGGGACTTCCGGTTTGAAAACTAAGTCGAAAAAGGCTCTTTTTCACACTTAAGCTTGAAAATAGGCCATCGGGGGCCAAAATCGTGCAATAACCACGAGACGGCCTGGGGAACACCTCAAACACCTCAGGAGGGACCAACGTAAGTTGTGAAAACTTATTGAACTAGCACGGAACTCCCGGTTTGAAAACTAAGTCAAAAAATGCACTTTTCACACTTAAGCTTGAAAATAGGCCATCGGAGACCAAAATCGTGTAACAGCCACGAGACCGCCTGGGGAACACCTTAAACACCTCTGGAGAGACCAATGTAAGTTGTGGAAACTTACAGAACTAGCATGGGACTCCCGATTTGAAAACTAAGTCCAAAAATGCACTTTTTCACAGTTAAGCTTGAAAATAGGCCATCGGAGGCCAAAATCGTCTAACATTCATGAGACAGCCCGGTTAACACCTCAAAGATCTTGGGAGAGACCAATGTAAGTTATGGAAACTTACAGAACTAGCACGGGGACTCCCAGTATGAAAACTAAGTCCAAAAATATACTTTTTCACACTTAAACTTTAAAATAGGCCATCGGAGGCCAAAATCGTGTAACAGTCACGAGACGGCCCAGGCAACACCTCAAACACCTCGGGAGGGACCAATATAAGTTGTGGAAACTTATGGAACTAGCACGGGACTCCCGGTTTGAAAACTAAGTCTAAAAATGAATTTTTCCAACACTTAAGCTTGTAAATTGGCCATCGGGGTAATCCGCATGCGGTTGATATTGTATTTTTGTGGATATTAGTAGACATGTTTTTTGTGGATATTAGGAGACGTGTTTGGTAATCCGCATGCGGTTGATATTGTATTTTTGTGGATATTAGTAGACATGTTTTTTGTGGATATTAGGAGACGTGTTTGGTAATCCGCATGCGGTTGATATTGTATTTTTGTGGATATTAGTAGACATGTTTTTTGTGGATATTAGGAGACGTGTTTGGTAATCCGCATGCGGTTGATATTGTATTTTTGTGGATATTAGTAGACATGTTTTTTGTGGATATTAGGAGACGTGTTTGGTAATCCGCATGCGGTTGATATTGTATTTTTGTGGATATTAGTAGACATGTTTTTTGTGGATATTAGGAGACGTGTTTGGTAATCCGCATGCGGTTGATATTGTATTTTTGTGGATATTAGTAGACATGTTTTTTGTGGATATTAGGAGACATGCTTGGTAATCCACATGCAGTTGATATTGTATTTTTGTGAATAGTGCTGAAATTTAATTGTGATGTTTATGAAAATGAGCAGATTTTTGTATTGATTTGTAATAGATATTTTATTGAACAGGTTATTGAAATGCGCAGGGAATTTTTAGTGAAAGAAAAATTTTAATTTGAAAATAGTACCCCCATTTTAAAATTTGTTAATTATTATTAGCGACGAAATAAAAAATGTCGCTATTAGTTTTCAAAAAACATGACGAATAATTTTGTCACTAATGATATAGTACCAAACAAATAATTTCGTCACATTTGCTGAATATTTCGTCGCTAACTTGAAATATTTGGTGACAAAATGTTTGTCATTGAAGAATTTTCTTTTCTGCTCATTTTAGTGACGATTTTTTTGTCACCTTAATCTATATCATTGGTGAGGAAAACTTTCATCACTAAAATCTATTTGGTGACGAAATATTTCGTCGCCAAAAACAATTAAAATAAAATATTATCTAATTTTGGTGAAGCAATTGATGTTATAGAGGACAAAAAAATGCAACATTTGGAGACGAAAAATTTCGTCGCCAAAAATGAAAAATAAGCGACGAAACTATTTTTTGTCACCAGGTACTTTCAGCGACAACGTATAGGTGACAAACGTGGTGACAAAATTTTTTCGTCGCAGATCACTTTAGTGAAGAAAATTTGATGGTTGCAGACAAAATCAGTCTGTCACCAAAGGCTTTTTTTGTTGTAGTGTCATTGGCATCCTTTTGTCGTGGCATTTTTGAATTTGAATTCTGCATCATTGATACATTTTTTAATTTATTTTAAATGTTTACAAAATTATTTTTCTACAAAATTTGAACTAACTAAATAAACAATATTTACATTTATTAAATGAAATGATTGTAAAAAAAATGTAACCACTATTTATACATTTTAATTTTACAGGCTAATGTAATCATATAAAAATTAAAAATAAATTAATATTAAAAAAATTGTCATAAAAAAAAAAATTGTTTAAGTGTTGTTTGAAATGCGTAATCCCACCTTTAATGAGATGTCCACAAAATTTGCAAATAATATGACGTCTAGTGCCTTCAACTAAAGTTCCAAATTTCCAACTAATATCATCACTTGGGGGTTCATCATTGGCTCCCTTTTGTCGTGGCATTTTTGAATTTGAATTCTGCATCATTGATACATTTTTTAATTAATTTATTTATTTTTTAAAATTTGTGCCAACAAAATTGTTGTCACAACACACTATAATAACAAAATAAAAAAAATATTTAAAATTAAATACTAAATAAAATAGTTAACAAAAAATGCAACCACCACTTATACATTTCGATTTTACATGCTAATGTAATCATATAAAAATTAAAAAATAAATTATAAAGAATTTTTTTTGAGGTATTGATTTTTTTTCTTTTAAAAAGATTTTTTTTTTAAAAAAAAATTGTTTTTGAGGTATTGATTTTTTTCTTTTAAAAAGATTTTTTTTAAAAAAAAAAATTGTGCCTTCAACATTGTTCAACATTGTTGTCACAACACATTACAATAACAAAATAAAAAATATTTATAATTAAATATTAAATGAAATTATTATAAAAAAAAATGCAACCACTATTTATACATTTGGAGTTTACATGCTAT